AGGATCATTTCTTTGATTTGATCTTCTATGTCGTGTGGTTGATCGGCGACCGGGACTTTTGTTATGCCAGGCAAATCGATTAATGTAATGTTTAATACATTTGGACTGTAGATGTGCAAATTTATCGGAACATTGCTAACCTGCAGTAGAAAATATAAGGAGTAAGATATCAAGAGATATAACAGAGACCCTTTTAAGAGATAATACAGACCCCTTTTCGATTGTCCGTCCCACGATCAGTTTCAGCTTCAATTTCCTTACGAATTTCATTGAAATCGGTAAACTGCTTATCCTTGCAATGCATGAATTCACCATATTCTGTTCGAGAAAAATATTGAAAAAATAACATTGATTTCATTGCTGGAAACTAAACAAGGCGATTTAATTATTATCAATTAAGATAAATCTTACCAGTTTCCGCGTTGATTAGTTGTAAAATCAATGGGCGTCTTGTGACTACGCCGGCGCCACGCGGTAAAAAATCCCTATAATCATGTACACATATTTTGAGTTATTTTTTTTTTTTTTTTCATAAAAAAGAGTTAAACGATAGACACTCAGTACGCACCTTCCGACAAAATTTTCTAAAACAGAACTTTTCCCAGCACTTTGGCAGCCAATCACAGCAATTTGTGGAAAATCAAATTGAATGCTGGAGCCCGTTTGCAAGCATACATCCAGCATCTTATTCGTGGCCAAAATCAGCTTTTCCATGCCAGCATTACCTGGATTGGTTTTTGGTTCATCTTTTTTTGAATCCATTACGTTAAAGCACAATATTTTTTCAAATTTCGTGACTGAAGATTATTTCGGTGCAATAATAAAGTGATTAAATAAATGAACGACCACCTGCTTGCTGAAATCTTAACGACGAATTAATTTGAAGGTACTGATTCTGACTTGTTGTTTGCTCAAATCCAAATGGAGAACTAAATGGAAAGTAAGTAAGAGAATTAATTGAAAGAGAATGGCAGAGATTCAATTTAACAATATGTATACATGAAATGTTTACGGAGATGAAATAAAGCGATGCACAAAAAACTCTTATGTTTGCTGCAACACATATTAAAAGATATTGTTGTGAATTTGTAAGCAATATTTGGATTCAATTTTAGAATACCGTGATACATAGTGGTATTTGAAACACAATGATTACAAGGAATTCAGAGAATAAAACAAAAACTAAAAACCCAAAACTGGAATATAAATATTGCGATACTGAAAAACCCTTTTTTGTCCATGCAGCAAAAGTAAAATATTGTCGTTGAATAAACACTCGGAACGCTAGTCGATGTTATTAATTAACATTTACTTTATACATATTTTTCCAAAAAGTGACAACATAAATAAGGATAAAGCGATTCTATGAAACATAGTCTTACGATGATTGGGTGCATTAAGTGTTGAATCAACACTGTTGACAAATGAAAAGAATCGACCCTCTAATAAAAGATCAAAGAAATGGAAAAGAGATAAGCAACGCATTGGTACGTATTTCAAATACGGTATTTGCAATCAATTTTACAGTATCCATGTAATGTAAATACGTGATATCATGTGTGCGTTTACGCTTGCGAAATGTGCAATGCACCAGAAAATATTTGTTTAGCGTTTACACCGTTATTTCCCCCTAGAATAAAATTTCATTAAAAAAACTCTTCTCACATTTTACAAATATCTCATATTTTGTGATGGAATGCTCGATTTAAATGCAAAAATAAAATAAACAGACAGACGTGGCCCATACATTAATCGAACATTACGGATCTGTTATCGGAAATATTGATTGATCTAAGTTATGAGCCAAATGAATTTGAAGATGAACTATGGTTGAATTATGACAGTCCTTCATAACAGGCACAGTTAATGTTCGAAAAATTCATTGATAATGATCATTGAGAAGTTCATTGAATGATATGAATCATTTGGATTAATATAGAAATTTCCGTAAATATTTGTTAAATTTTTACATTTTTAGATCTTTCAAAGTGAATTGCTTACGTGAAAGTTCTTAAAATAAACAAATTCATTTAGAAGCGTAAACAAGGAAGGAGTCTCAAATGTCTAATATATTTATGACGTATGTATGGCCTCTGATTTATTATAAATTCGAGAATTTACTTTGTGTCGTCAAAAATGTGATCGCGTATATTGTATAAATACCGTGTCGCATCTATCCGTTCATCAGTCTCACACAAATTATAGTCAACGACACATTCGATATTTAAGAAACACACACACACAACCTGTTAAGTAATCAAGTGATTTTCGTGTAAAAAAAGTTGTAACATAAAAAATACTGCAGTGAAAATGTCAGCCTTATCACCCTATTGGGACGGATTCAATCAACATAGAGACGATAGCCTTGCTCAAATTGACAAAGATGGCTTTAGCGTTCGCATTGCGGTTCACAAATTCAAGCCAGAAGAAATCTCAGTGAAAACTGTCGACGATATGATTTATATAAACGCCAAACATGAAGAAAAACAAGGCGAAGGTCATTACATTAAGCGAGAAGTGTCACGACAATTTAATCTACCACGTGGTTTCAAGCCCGAAGATGTTGTATCAAGCCTATCCACAGATGGTTTCCTTTCAGTCCGATGTGCAAGACCTCTTCCAGCAATAGAAAATGCGAACACTGGTTATCAAGTTCCAATCCACCAAAGTGGCCAACCAAATCAATGGCTTTGATTGAAACTACCATTTTTATAAATTAAGATTTAAGACGATTTTGTTGTACAATTTAATAAAATAAATAAACAAAATATTTAATTAAAAAAACGACATTGATTTGTAGCTCTTTTTAAAATTTTAATTTTCAGAACTGAAGGCGCAGGTATGGTGAAGATCGTCTAAAGCATAAAATGAACCGAGCTTTGAACTTTTGATGAAAGTCAATGTCTACAACAATGTTCTTTGTATATTTTGTCAATTGTAAACGTCACTCTGATATACTAATCAAGTCCATTTATTCAGATTTATATAGAAATCGTCTCACACAACACTTGTCATCTTTCAATGTGAGTATTGAGTGAAACTCTTACTTAGATGATTTAAATATAGCCATTATGTATATTTCCAAAAATAAATCGTAAGCCATCGAAATATGTATAATTTCACCTGCGCGCTTAAATTTGTGTGGAGGTGCCAAAGTCAGTCGTTTACAAAACACACCAAAAACGAAATCAACAACTTGAAGTGTTCAGTGAATTGCTTCGAAGAAAGCTGTGAAAGCTGAAAATGTTGTGTTTTAAATTTGTAAATTTTTTTGAATGTAAGCGAAATAATTGCGTCAATAATTACGAAGAGAAAAAAATGAAAAAAAATTCCAATTTTTATTGAATTTTGTTAAGTTCAATCCTATAGTATCTAAACAATGAAAAATGTTCCTCCTACATTTAAGTGTTTGCAAATGTCCTGGACCCACCTACATATTGATGTTGATAGACAAAACCAATAGAATTCAATAACTCTAACGAATGTTTGCACGTGGAGTCTCAATTACACGCGCGAACAAAAAATATCGATTTTGGTAATAGCTTTTTCAATTTTTAATTTATGTTAACGGAAAATTATTATTTTAGATTCATCTCCATAAATATAATACCCTAGGTTTCTCTCATATGAGGTCGAATAAAATTCAAATGAAAAAAAGTTTGTTCGAAGTCGGGTATGCAAATAAAAATCACAAAATTTCCATCATTTTTCCAAATTGAAATTGTTTAGTTTATAACGAATATGTATATACTATGCATTGTTTCTTGAATTTAATTTCTGTTCGTTGATACATATACATAAATTTTACTTATAAATTTTAATGTTTATGTGTGTGTTCATTGATTTACATCGCAAACAAAATTGTGAAATTTAATCACAAATGACAGTTTACCGACTCCAGTGATCACTTTATTCAGTGACATATCGAGGAATTGTTTTCGCACGCAATTTTCATTATAATTTTTAGATTTTCGTATATGCGTCACACTAATCAAATTATCTTTCAAATAAATAAAGTTTTGACATAAAGTATAAAAGCAATATTTTTAATCAACGACGGTGATTCAATATCACATTATTTTATTTTGTTTAATAGAAATTTAACAAAAATATGAATATTTCATCTTTTTTGATTTTTCAATAGCGTATCTGCAATTTTTGCCAATTTTTGAAAAAGTTCGCGGTCCGATGCTTCTTCCTGCAAATAAAAATGTCAGATACTTTTATACAGTCCTTTTTTATATAGAGACATCGATTTTTTAGACAAAAGCACAGGAGTTATTTTATATACATTTTATTTAGTATCTAAGCTACGGCGCACACAATCAATATTTAATCCATTTTCCTGTCTTCTCGATCACACGGGCGATTAACGTTGGGTCGATCATTCACATTTTTTTCGTACTTATACTGCTGGATCCACTTTGTTACGAACCCTCTTGACTTTTTAATGTGTTTTTTGACCTTCACTATAGACCATTTTGCTCCAAACTGGTGCAAAAGTAAAAACTGCTTCAAAACGTTTTGAAAAATGTTCGGAATTCATGTTTTGATTGCACAACAAACACTGTAATGATTTGAGAACTGTCAAATTTGTTGTGCGTCGTAGCTTAGAGTGCCATTTAGCACTATATTTTTAAGATAAATATATCCAAATATATTTTTACCAAATATATTTTTAAGATATTTGAAATTTTTGTCTAAAAAATCGATGACTCTATATAAAAAAACGTTCTGTATTTCAGATCAACCGTTTGGATTTGTTTTCTTATAACCTTTAATAACTAAAATAATTTACCTTTCTGATTGGACTGTTACACATGTGACAAACTGGACATGGAATTGGGTGAATGTTTATTTCGCGAGCAAAAATGTAGTCGTATTCCCTCTGCTGATTCGAGGGATGAGCTGGGTTGTTGCATATATAATATGCTCTAGCAGCGTTCATTTCAGAGCTGATCCAATATATCAAAAATATGAATGAATTTATTAGCTTTGGTGCGTCTTAATTGAGTGTTTGATATCGACTAAGACACTTTATGGCACATTCGAAGTAGCTTGGTACCAACACTTCGAAATTGAAAAGAAAATAATTTTAATCTTTTGAATCTATTATGGCTATAAGCCAAAGATATTGACAATTTGTGACTCGGCAAAGATACATAAAATATTCGAATGCAAAAGGCATTGATTGCTATCATTTACATGTAATTCAATATTTTCTTATCAAAATAAATATTCATGAACAAAACACTTCTGCTTATTCTACTGTAATATAGAAATGTTCATGCCAAATAAATGATTCATTAAATATGGAATTTGGACGTCTCTTCACGAGAGAAATGGAATTTGAAACACAGAAATGATTATTGTTATCATAATTTGTTTATTGATACGGTTTTGTACGAGTATTTTTTCTGCTGAATACGTGGTTTCTTTTTCAGGTCTAACCATGAGACAGAAATCGTCAAAAATTGATTTTGATTATGCAGCAATTGTACCAGCGTTGTTGAGTTTATTTTTCAAATAAATAAAACTTTAAATGGATTTAATTGCCTACAAGCCACAACAAAAAGTTTGTTTATCAAAAAAAAAGGCTGAACACACAATTTAGCTGCAATCGATCGATACTTTTATGAATTACACACGAGTGCATTTTCGAGCAAAATATGAGTGTTCTGATTTGTGATATTCAAAAGAATTGTAACAATGTTGTTTTTGTTGGAATATCAAACCTATCGACGTGGAAAGTCGAAAAAATCTCTAATTATTTTCACTCTTTTTAATAAAAAAGAATGCCTTTTTTAATAAAATAATATTCAAGAAGAAAAATTAATTTCAACCAATGATTTGGAAATCACAGTTTTGGCCACTGTAGATGTATCCTTCTGAATTGTTCTATATTTGGACCTGCATTTTATGTTTATATTACGTAGAATCGTTATAGAAATGCTCTTTCAACTTCAATCAGTCCAGCAAAAGGAAAAAATAAAGGAAAGAAATTTGTTTATTTTTTCAATTGTGAGCGACTGAGCGTCAGTTTGATACACCGACTCCACCAAGTCCAATTCCGCAAATCATTCAGATTATTATAGAAATGGTCTCATACAAACACTTGTCATACTTCAATGTTGTTTGAATATTGAGTGAAATTCTCAAATGAACTAAATATAGCTTTTGTCTATATTTCCAAAAATAAACTCAAAAAACATGTATAATTTCACCTGCATTTGGTTATATATACACATATTTACTCATACCTTGAAGCCCACACCAGAGAATTACATCAATAATTTGTGAATGAAAACATTGAGAAAATTCAAGAAGAAAATATTCTGAATGTGTCATCAAAATATCGAGCAACCGTTCGTTTGGACTCGTGCTGAGACATTCAAGTTGTATAAATACAAATGCGCATCATTCTGATCGTCAGTTATTTACAAAACATACCACAAAAGCGATATCAACTCGAGAAAAGTGTGTATCCAGTGAATTGTTTGTTGAAAAATTTTCCAACTTAAAATTAAAGTAAAAATGTCGCGTTTGTCAGATTGGTTGAATGATTCTGATTTCTACGATCCAGTTCGTTATCATTACATCGATCGTTCGCGTCACTATCCAAGTGTTGACATCCCCTTCAGACGTACATTCAGATGTTACAAAGACGCTGACGATTATTTGAATCCAGGCATATCAAACCTGAATATTGGCGAAAGAAAAGCAACGGTCGACAAAAATTCATTTGAGCATTGCATTGATGTTGCACACTTTAAGCCAGAAGAAATCTCAGTGAAAGTGGAAAACAATTCAGTTTTGGTGCAAGCCAAACACGAAGAAAAACAAGATGAACAAGGTTTCATTTCACGACAATTTACACGACGATATGACCTACCGAAAAATTGTAAAGCTGAAGATGTCGTATCAAGTCTTTCATCCGATGGCATTCTTTCAATTAAATGTGCCATTCCAGTGGTCAGCGAGAGTGCCGATGGCCGCCAAGTGCCGATTCAACAAACAGGACAACCGTCACAATCGAGCACCAAGAACAATGCGGACAAAAATGATGGAAAGGAAACACCAGTTGCATAAATACGACATGCTTTGAAACTCAACATCACGATTTTAATTGAATAAGATATAAGAAAAATTGTTATTGAATTTTCAAGAGAAAAAATGTAATAAATTGATTGGATCAAAAGCATGATAGCTTGAATTCTGTCATCGATATTTTTTTATTTTAATGGGATTCTGTTAACTTACAAAGCTCTATTCTTGAAGCAATCCTTCATTGACCGAATCTATATGCATTTGTTGAAATGTATATTTCGAATCAGTATGCATCTGTTCCACGTTCCTTGTATCTTCCTTGTGCGATGAATAAATAACAAATTGACATAGTCGGTCTGAAGCTTCCGAAAAATATCAACTTGTCGCAAACTTTTTTGGGAAAATTCAAAACGAGTTGACGTCTCACATCCATTGTTGTTGCAAAGTAAACAAGAACTGCGCAATAATGTGCATCATCACAGTGCATAGCCAAAACATGAATAAACATAACGGTAAACAAAAGAGTGATTGGAAAGTATTGTAGTTGTGGGCTACGTAGTTATGAAAAAAAATATCATTTTAACTGACCCACCCTGTATCTGTTCTTTAGCAATATGTAATATGTATGTATCTATTTATTATTTAAAAAAAAGTGTACATTGTATTAAAAAAGCCGACAATATAGAAAAAATGGTCGACGAATGCATATGTAAATCTTTCATTTATATCTATAATGTTTCAATATTATCGTTTTTTTTGTTTTCTGAACTTGAATTTGACTGACGAAGCAATTTCGTGGATTAACATTTTTTTGTCCGCAAGATGATTATAGCCGTTAAAAATATAGATGAGATTTTTTATCAGACACTGAGATTCGGTCAATCATTATAAAAAAATTCTGGAAATATACTAGATAGAACCATCGATAAAGATAATATGTATCATCCCACATTTGTTGCATTATTTTTCAATGAAAATGTTAATATATTTGGAGTGGCCTCATATCAACGACATCAGACTGATTCACAATTCGTCACCCTTTACAGTTAAAGTATAAATAAACATAACAACCACTACTAAAATAATTCAACCAATAACAATTTTGTTTAGTTTCATATTTATTGAATCATCATTTCGTATTTATTTCAAACTAAATGTATCTATTGAATAAAAGCAACTGTGATAATACACAATCATCGGTTATTTCATTAACATGTCACGTTATTCGCGTGGAAAGAGTTCAATCCCAAACATCCCTAAAACTCAAATGCTTTAGTCGATCTTCGAGTGTGATATTTTCCTTGAGTTTTTTAAGGCGACGCATTTCTTTGATTTCCAAATAGCGTTTGTAAGATTTGTCGTGTACCGCTGTATGGCCTCGTGATTCTTCCTGTAAATTGAAAAATGACAAACAATAAGAATATCGTTCAATTGATACGAATAATTCAATTTGAATTGAAAAATAATATTTAAACCAAAATTATTCGGCAAAAAACTTACCGCACTCAAATATGGATTCATGAGCAAGCCCATAACTCGTTCCTCTCGCTCGTACTCTTCTCGCAACAGATTCATATCTTTCATCTTAATTGGTCTAACGTATCTGTATTTACCGCGATGCATGCTTCCCTTGAACAGCTGCCGCCGCATTACATTTTGAACTAGTGTCAGAAACATTTTCTTGAATTTTCAAAGAATAAATTTCAAAACAAAATTGTGCATTAAATTCTTTACTCCAAAATTATTGTTATTATTTGAGGTTATGTGCGGGATTGAGCTGTCAAAAGAAAAAAAAAACAATATTCTACACACTTGACATTTGTAGTTTGTCGCATGCTTATAGATTTGACAAGTCTGAACGCTGAAAATACAATAGTAGCATTGTTTCATTTCAAATGTAGCAATAATGAATTTAATAAAATCAATTTCAAATGTGTCCAGTGTGGCGGTTAGGTCTAATCGATTCCAGTGTACATTGGTTAGATTTAAAAGCAGCAAATCATTACGAAATTTGAACTGTGAACCACAACAATTGTTACGGAAAACTCAAATCCCGGTGCTGACACAATGTTCTCAACGATTACTTCATTCATCACCAAAACATGAAAACAGTTTTCAGCCAAATGCGTCGTTAATCGTAAAGAAACGGCCATTACGTAAGAAACGGCTTGAAATTGATGGTGATTTCAATGTATTTGCCTATGCAACAGCTGAAGAATATGACCTTGAATCACTGCACACATCTTTAACTAAGCAGAATTTATATGAAACAAAAAGGTTCTACACCGAATCGGGCGAGGATGTGTTGCACGTGCGGTCAAAAATCAATATCGAACCAGAAGCGCGGGATATTTTCTTCTTTCGTGAAGGTAGCGTGGTTTTATGGAATTGTGATGAATTTGAAACGAAGAATATTCTTCGCAATTTGAAACAATTTGAAATTAGTTCGTACGATGAAGCGATGATTAAAGCAGAAAAAGAGATAATGAAATATGCGTATGTGGAAAATCAAGCGGGTTGTTTAAAAAATGAAACATTTTTTGTGCAACAAAATGGTGATGCTGATTTGGAAAAATATACATTTTCAAATGCAATGGTAGGCTCGGTCAAATTGGGCATATGGGAAGCAATGCTTGAAGACTATATTGATGGACTGGCTGATGTTACAAGTGATTTAAAGAATGGACGACGCATTAAAATGTCACGATCATTAATTTTACGAAAAACCGGCGAACTATTTGCACTGAAGCATTTGATCAATTTAGAATCAGATCTACTGGAGACACCCGACTTTTACTGGGATCGAGAAAAACTGGAACAACTTTTCAGCAAAACATCCACCTATTTCAGCATTTCAAAACGCAAACGGGTATGAGCGCACATGTGATTATTTAATTTTCTATTTCGATTCTCATTAACATATCGATAAAACGATGTTTTTTCTTTGGCAGACTATTAATGAAAAGATCAACCATTGCATCGAACTGACTGAATTGATTTCATCGAATTTGAACGACGCACATCATGTACGACTGGAATGGATGATTATCGTTTTAATTATGGTAGAAGTTGCATTTGAAACAATCCACTATATTGATCGGTATGTTGCCGCTGGTGTTGAAACTAATACATCAAAAGAGAAATTAAGCTAGATTTTTTTTGATTAACAATCAATTCGATTAATAGATTTTGCATTTTGGAAATGTATAGAATTGTTTTTTAAGGTCTGTGTTACATTAAATGCGTTGCTAATATAATTTATTTTATGCTGAGAAAAAATAGAATTGAAAAGAATAATAAAATGTATAAATATGATTGTTTGAATAGAAAAAGACTGTGTTTAATTTACCACTTTGAAAAGTCTCCAAACGTCAAAACACAGAGTTTAAGCGAACATTTCGGAACTCACCCCAGAAAATGCATTTGAATACAAATTTCTAGAATATATGCGAACTGTATTAAAAGAGTCTTCCTTTAAATGAAAAGCATTTTTTTAAATGTCGAAACTATTGTGTGATTTGAACAAATGAAGACGAATGAAGATATTGCACGAAAATGAGTCGCACAATTAAACTCTATTCACTTGTAGGCAAATAGAATTTAACTGAATCATTTGTATATTAACCAAAACCGAACTTTCACTTCAACTGAAAATGTAATCCAATCAGAAAAAACGACATTTTTCCAAGATGATTTTCAAAATCACATAATCAAAATCTTTTTAAAGAAGGAGTTTTTTGTGTTTCACGATATTTACATTCATAAAATATAAAAATAAATTGTTAATTTTTTCACATTTCTTGCAATAATTACAATTGTTAATTTTTAACAACATCAATTTTATTCGCTAATTTTCAACATTTCGTCACGCTTATTTAAAATTACGTCCGTGTCATAAAAATCCTATACCAAGACATGTGTTTGATTGTATACAAAAAAAAAATCTATTTCGATTTTCCCACTTTGAAATGTCTCCAAAAATCGAAATGTCACAAAACGCCGGGTTCAACATAATTGCGGAATGTATTCACCACTAACAGCAGTCAAATGTCACTTTTGTAAATGCAAGCCAAGTAATAGCAAAAAAATAACAGAAATTTAAGTGAAACAATATTAATTTGAAACAATCGAAATAAAAAATGGATTCATTTTTTGTGCAACTGAAGAAATTAAGTGACTATAAGCTGTATGGTCAAGCCCTTCAAATTGTGAGTGAATAGAATTTGGTTTGATTCAAATACGAAAATAATGACTGATCTAAGGACTCTCTCATAATCTTGTTCTTTCTTTGAATGTACCAGGCTTTAGTACTAGAGGCAGACTACGAAAAAGATCGTTCATTGTTGATACCTGAACAGTATTTTTTACTGCAAATTTACATTGCACAGAGCTACAATCATCGAAAGCAATATCGCAAAGCTGCACAAATCTATCGCAATGCATTGATTGCGCGCAAACAAATTGTAAAGGGCAAAAGTGCAATGGCTATGAACTATGAGAACCTCATTGAAATGTATCCGGAAAATGAAATACGCTATCAAATTGCACTTAGTCTGGAACAAGTGAACGAATTTCAAGAGGCATTATCAGCACTAAATGGTATTTCGAATCGTCAGCGCAATCTTACCATTAATATGATGATTGGAAAACTATCAATGCAAAATGGAAAATGTCAAAATGCCGTGACCGCTTTTGAAGCAGTATTACGAGAATGCCCAATGGCTCTCGATGCTATAAAAGAATTATTGACATTAGGCGTAACTGAATTGGAAATTAGCAACATCATTTCAGAAAGTTTGTTTTTTATCAATTTTCATTTTTAGTTGGTAAATTTTTAAAAACATTTTGATTTCTTTTAGCAAGTCTTCCAATTCAAGTTGTGGACTGGATCAATACTTATCTCGATGCCTCGGCGGCGATGAAAAAATGTAAATTTACCGAAGCGATCTCATTTCTTGAAACCATCGAATCAAAGCCGCAATTCGGAAACAATGAATTGATTACGGTTATGCTAGGGCAATGCTACTACTTAAATGGCGATCATGATACCGCTCTTACTCATTTTCAGCGTGCGTACTCCGCCAATAACGACTGTTTGGATGTACTCAGTTAGTATTTTTTTAAACATGTTAATGAAAAGAAGAAAAAATAATTAATTTAAATGTGTTACGTTCTCTGTCTTGATTAATACACTTGAAATTAGATATGATGGGCGCAATCTATGCTAAGAAAGGCGACTCCACGGAACTGGAAAAATTAACTCAACTTTTTGTGAACGCAGCGGAATACACATCGGAGCATTGGCTCATTTATGGCTATCACTATTATGTTATGAAAAAATTCGAAAAATCCTCTTACTTCGCGCATAAAGCATGCTATCTAAATCCGCGAAATATTGAGGCTTGTCTTTTAAAAGGTATTTTTCAATTATTTCGTATTAGAGTCTGATTTCTGGACATTTCTTTCATGTATGTATGTTGACACATAATGATGTCTCTTTTCGTTTCTTTGTTTGGTGCAGCTCGTGTTTTCCTTGAGTTGAAGAAGTACGATGAAGCCCTTATTCAGCTAAGACTTTTGATCCAGTATGCAAATAATCGATTTGAAGTGCATGAATGTTTGGTGCATGCTTATATTGGAATGTCTCGATGGCGCGAAGCGCAATTACAAGCAAATGAAGCATATCGAATTTTGGGCAAATCGCCGCGCAATTATGTCGTAAGTACATCCAATCTACTCACATTGATGATAAAAGACTATATTTCTCAGCCAGTATGGTTGAAGCCTATCGACCTATTCTTCTTTATAATTGTGATTACTTTATTTGATTGAATTTTAGTTGGGTGCTCAAACTTATATTGCGGGAAACACATTGGCGGCACGATCAAAGGCAAAACCATACTTAGAAAAGGCATTGAAATTGAATAAAAATTATCAGCCGGCCATTCTATTTTTGGTTACATTACTAGTGGAAGAAGGAAACACATCGAAGGCCATACAATTGCTACGAAAATTGGCTGCAGTAAGACCATCACCGGAAATTTACTCGAAAATTGGCGACATTTATGCAGAGCGCCAAGAAAGGAAAGAAGCTATCGAATGCTATACAGAAGCTCTGCAGTACGTAACTGTGTCTCTTTTTTTAATTGCAACAATTTTTGAGCAACAAATTATTTGTTTCAGTTTGGATCCGTTGAATCGTAGAGCACTCAGCCAGTTGGAAGTATTGGAAAAGCAATCAAATAAAGATGATGAAGCTGGCCCATCGAATATCGGTAACAATGATGATGATAATTCCGATATGATGGATGTTCAAACAGATGCCACTGATGCTGGCGGCGAAGAGGGTGATGTTGTACCTTTGCCGGGAGAAATCGAAAGTGAAACTCTATGGTCTGACACAGATCAAGAAGTATTGCAACCGTATCAAGACTAAAAATTGAAGATTTTTGTTTGGATTTGAATACTTTTGAATGATTCTTTATTATATCATTCCAAACATACATCTTCATGGATATATTGATTATAATCAATTTTTTAATAATTTTAATCAATAAAGTTTTTATCTATTTGTTAATCGAATGAAAAATAAATCAAATCATTGAAGTACTAATTTATATGGAAGGCTTACAAAACTTATAATAAATAACCTGATATTTTCGTGATGTGGTTCTTATTCGATATTCATGGCACTATTTCCTATAAGATTTCCATATGTTTATATTCTCTTTCTCCAAATTTTGATCCATGTTTTTAAAAGTAAATCGATTGTTATTTAAGGACGGTGTTTTTGGCGACACTCAAGCGATCACGATTTCATCGAAGGTGCAATAACCGATTTGAATGCCTTCATTTCTTGGAAAAAAAAGAGCGTTGACCATTTTTGGAAATTGTTTTGGTTTCCCCATCTTTTTGCTGTAAATCGTGCAAATATTTCATTTTTTTTCTTCTCTTCGAAAGCTAAATGATGTCAAGTGTATCAAGGCCATTTGGTGAAGCGGAGAAAAATGGAAAGGAACAAAAAGTGTCATCCACACGCGTATGAACCGATATAAACAAAACCAAAGGCAAACTTGATGTCGTATAAATCAATTAAAGCTGCAACATCATTCACGATTTTCGTAGCTAGAGAAGCTGTACTGACACTTTGGATTAACATTGGTCTTTTTAAACATATCTTTATTATTCCTTACATCATGTGCTCATGTCCAGACCGGAGATTGTTCACTCAACACCAGAATTACGACATAATTCTGCCGAAGAAAAGATTGCGCGGGTAGCGCAACAGAAAGAAAACCGCGCCAAAAAAAATTACCATGTGTCACATTATGATTGCATGCCATAAATGGAAGTGGTTGGCAGTGTGTGTCTTTATCTCGATTGCTTGCACCAGACCCAGCGCACTAATTGATCTCAATAAACAAGGCAATAAAAAGAACGGAAAGTATAAAATATAAAAGAGCGAAAGAGAGAGAACAAGCGGGAAAATCGAGATAAATAAAGTCGAGCACTTTTTTTCTGAGTGAATGATGGTAGCTGCTGTGCAAAATATCTACGTAAAAAAATATCATGAAATCGACAACGAAAACAATGTTTCAGTCTCAATAAATTCATTTAATTGTTTCAGCCGGATAAGCATCTAATTTTAAGTCGATTCGCAATAAATTATTGGTCGACCGAATATGGTGTGCATATTATGATCACTTGCACTTGCAAAATTATTATTTTACAATAATTTATGCCTGTTCTTTGATCGTAATTGCAAGATAATTGAATTCAATGAAAAGAAGATAATTTTATATAAAAATTCCGTTCCAATGAGCGTCGAAGCTCATTGAATCTCGTGCGATGAAATGCATTTTTCTCTTTTTTGTTGTTACGATTGAACAGCGCTCTTGAAAAGTAACTTACTGCATTCCATATTTTAAAAAAATTACATTGCGCAGTGAATTTATTAAAGAAATGCACTCAATTAAAGCGTTCTTCGTACTCTTAATTGAAACTTCAAAATCGGTTTGTTCGCTTAATATATCCTTTATTAGGTCAAATAATGCATTTGTTGTACATTTTTGTTACCAAAATTGTTTTTCGTTCAAGTTCAATGTATTGCAAGGTCACTTCAAAATAAAGGGAAACACAAAGAAAGAACATTGAGTTTCCATTTAAAAATCGATGATAAATTGAGTGACAAAAGCTAAATAATGACATTCTTCCAAAAATGATTGTGTCTTTTTTTTGTCGCGCGACTTTAAGCTGTTCACCAATTTGAGCAAAATGTATACAACAAGCAACATATTCACAAGTCGTACTGTGACAAATTATATTTTATGGGTAAACACACATTTATTTCTCATGTCAACGCAATTGTCGAATTTTATAAGCAATAATGCGTGCAAAAAGTTCGGTCAAAAGTAAGGTCATGGTTGGCATGGTATTGGCATGAATCACATTTTATGATTCATAGTTTTCGGATACATTAAAGAGAGCAAGTGAGCGCGAGTACTGGGCGGAATAATACACCCTCAATGTAAAAGTCGTGCACAAGGCCATTTCATTTGCGTTTCGCATGAGAATGCAGTGCATCCTTTGTGCGCGCAACAGTGTTTTTCCATATATTCAGATGGATAAATTGCGATTCATGCGGATTGAATTCGAAATGCGGAAAACAAGGGCGAACTTATGAATCACACTTAAACAAAATTGTATTTTGAATTTTGTACGCATTTTTCACCTTATTTTTATTCGATTTAAATTTCTAATTGATATTTCCTTATAGAATTCTAACACAAATTTATGACCTACGAGCATATAAATACGCAAACATAAATGGGCAATTAATATACGGTGCCTCCGCAACAAATACACATCCATACGTCTAGACGGTGTGAGTTTTAAAACAGCCCAAAAAAATGCCATCAACACCACTATAATCATCGGATTGCACGAATGGTTTTTCTCTCTTCCAATTTAGCGGTATGTGTTTGATTTAACTGTCTCTACAGCACAATGCACTGCACTGTCTCTCTGTCATCAAACGGATCGCGATTCCATAAACAATATATGTGTGGTGTTCGTATTGAAACGCATTATAACAAACATGCGGAACCATGCAGTTGTACGCTTGCGTACGCCCGATCACTTGCAACAAACCGAAAGCAACAGTAGCAAATCGACACACATCGAAGCGTGGCAAACGATACGGATGCGAGAGAATAAATTTGAAGAAAAAGGCGAAATAAACGCAGTAAACATAGTTGAAAATTGCACAGCCGAACTCAATTCTCATACACAGATAGAGTCAACGAAATCAAGACGGAAGAAGTATGCTACGATTAGCGGCAAACGTCAACCGCTGCACAACATACATACGAATAGACAGAAAAGAGAGTGAGAGACACCGCATTCAAGCAAACATTTTTTTCGATCCAGCGCCCATATGATTCGTTCATTCCATGTCAGTCGTAAGCCAGCAGTGGAACAAACGTCACGTTTATATATATTTCTTTTGTGTTCTTCGTATTCGTATTTATTTTTATGTTCAGTGTTTTCTTTCGTAACCGTATCGCAATTTTTCAATTGCTCAAAATTAGCCGAAAACCGATTTGATGAATAAATCCATCAATTTCTGAATCATACCGATTATAAATAAAAGTGTGAATAAGTGTTAAACGAAAAAAGACGGTTAAAAATCAGAACATTTTGCCAAAGGTGCACATGCGCCCATAAAACAGTTCCAGTTAGAAAGAACTTTTGCATGAATATTTTTTTTTCCGGATTTATTTTCTCCACTATATAGACACAGAGACAGAGACACACAACGAGTTAGTGTGATTTTTTTTGTTTAGATGGATTGAATTTTCTCTTGTTGTGTCAAATACACAACCTCTGAGTTTTTCTTCTCCACCTTTCATTATATACATAAACAATTGCAAAGAAAATTCGTGAATTGAGTGACTGTCAAAACTAAAAGGAAAAGTGCACTTCGATTTGAGTCATTTCACTTTTTTTTTCTCTCAATTCAAATGATGTGAACATAAGAAAACTTTTACCCTTCTTTTGTCAACGTATTTAAAGAATACAATGTAAATCCGGAATATTTAAGGACTAAGCATTCAAAGAAAAGCATTGCTAATCAATTCATAAAAAGTGACGTTAATTTATGTAGATATTTTTTATTATTTCATGCTTGAAATTAAATCACATAAAATTTGTTTTTATGGACCGAGGTCACGTGATTCGAAAGAAAAATAATTCAACATCGGACATCTCTTATCACAACAAATAAACATTGATTTCTTTTTAATTCGCGTGTGTTGATTAAGGAATTGATTTCATTTTGAAAAGAAATATTAACTGCAAGTTTTTGTGACGAAAATTCAGTGTGTCTGTGCATTAGTGTTGTTATCATTATCGTCCCTTCACTATTCAACCGTACAACAGCTGGAAATATTTTTCGAGTTTATCACAATCGATTCTTCTAGTTCAACAAATAGATAAGGTTTGTTTTTGAGATTATACCGACCATTTTTTTCCGTTTCTACAACAACAATATGAACTATTGAACTTATTTCAATGCATTTCCATGTCATAAAATGAACATTCATCCAAATGACTAACAAATCTGACTTTCTTCTTTCCATCACATTCAAAACATGTTATCACGAACCGTCATGTCAAAAGAAAAAAAAATCATTAAATGGCTATGCGCCAGGTCAACGATACTGAAAAACAAAAGGGAAAAAATGCGATATAGAATCTGAATTTTGTCTGCGGCACATAATTTGCTTGATGAAATTTTCTTCAAGCACGCCACTTCAGTGACAGTCGTCGCCAATCTATTTCCGTGTGTGTTCTTTTTTATGTCGCTTTCCGAAAGGAAACCGACCAAAAAATTCCGCATTCGTTTCGTTTGTATTGTAAATTTGCCCATGTATGTGGTGTATGAGTGTTGCGATTTTCAACGCTCTTCACGCGAAAACTCTCTAGATCTTGATTAGCACTATCGAAAATTGAAATAAAAAAAAAATCCTCCGACTCGCGATTAAAATACAAAACGAAGAGGAAAAAACTGAATTTTCCGGACTGCTATTCACACTTTAATGGTCGTGATTTCCATTTCAAAAGAACGCTAAAGAACAAACAACTGGAATACAATCAGACATTGAAACGGAAACGTGAGACTTTTCATTTCGTCTGGTAGATTTAATAAATATGCACTTTGCGTCTTCGAATTTTTTATATTATATATGGAAGTGCTTACGTTACATGCGATGCCGGGGCGTATTTAAAAATCGTTATAGTGATTGTTGTTCCCAACCATCGACTATATTTTATATTATGTGGCATTTTCAATGCCATTGCCACATCGTGTTTGGTTGTTGTTGCCACCAATTGTAAATGGTTTATGTATGGTGCGGCAATATGGAGAGTGAAAGATAGAAAGAGAGAAATTACAAATCGATAAAAATTGTCGACGAATGTATTTTGTTGCTCTCTTCCGACTCTCACAACCGGAGTCATGAACGAATTAAATATAATCGTTATATGTTTATATTTTGCTCTATAAAACACACAAGCACATACTCCCGAGAAATTCTCTCTTCGTTCCCATCATTCAATGTTGTCTATATTTATAGTACAATTCTATATAGAGTTTGTATCGCATATTGGCGATAATAAAACTTGAAGTTGCTCTTCGTTTGCCATACGCAAGCAAATGTTTCGTCTACGTAAGCCGGCACACACAGAGAGAGAGAGAGAGATAGAAAGAGCAATCGTATTTCCAATTCCGAAATAGTTCAAGCTACATCTGACAAACCGAGACACCAAGTAATGTCTCGCGAAGTGAGAGTTGCAAAAAAAAATGAGAATTGTGCGCGAAAGAGAGCGAATGTGCGTGAACTTGTTGTGTATAATTGGTTTTGATGTATATTTGATGATGGCATTAAAATAACACCATTAACTAGCACCTATAGATCCACATGAATGCATGCTTCAACGATGTTGCATTTCAATGTAACTATGTCGATGGTAAATTTCCGAATCGAATAAAAATGCAATTTGACTCGCTCTAAATTTGCTTCGAATTGGAATTTTATTGGCACCATGATGCTGCTGCCGTATGTGTAACATCCACAATTTCAACTTTCACCGAGTGCACTGCAAATTAGAAAATAGCTTCACTCATTGTACGTGTGTGTGTGTGTGTAGATCGCAAGTCAATTTGCAACATCAAAAGGAACATTTCAATATTCTAATCCTATCAAGTCGATTGCCATTCCCTCCCATTTGAAATATCACATGAAATCTTTCTTTCTGAATCGTGTCTATATGCATTTCGACTCGATTCTCTTGCGCTACTTCAATTCTAAAATGACATTACGAACACTGCAAACCTATTAAACAAACATAAATTCTGGCGCATTTTCAAATTAGTAATGTTATGCGATTCGATAGGAAACTATGTGTGTTTATCACATGCGTGTGTGTGTGTACATTTGGTGCCATTTAAATTGGAAATGAAAGAAAAATAAATGTAAGCTCACATGCTGAGTGCACACTGCACACACAAAGAATGAAAGAAAGTCTCCGATCGTCTCAAGTACGTATTCATGTTGTTGAACGGTCGATTATTGTGTTGCTTTACTGTTTGTTTATTTTGATTGGCTGCGAAAGTATTTGCATGAGCTTCTCATGAAAATGGGATTTAAGTAGAATTATTGTGTTCACTTAATATATACTTTATTGTGAATAAAACATTGTAAATGCGCCACCATACAGAAACACACACACACATACATAAGTACAATGTGTGCGTCAGTCGAGTCAACGACTCAAATAGTTGGATTCGTTGGCTCTGTACAACGATTTATGCATGACACCACATAATTATTGATTGATATAAATATTTCAGACCGTTCGGTGAAAATGTATTGTGGCACGACAGAAATGCACGGACCCATCGATCAAGTGGCGCAAACGTTCGCCATACCGTCTCCTCCTCACAATTAAAATACACATATACCTACGGAAATTTTCCTTAATACAAAGGAGTGCTGTCGTTTTTTCCTGTTTTTTTTTTTGGCAATTAACATTTCAACGCACTATTTTTACAATTTTGGGTTCTTTTCGGTATTTGGCAGTAGCTCTATTTTTATTGAGAGCTAAACCAGGAAATGCATTTCTTACATTTTACGCAATTAATTACACACTTTTAGTCACAACAAATGCATCAAATGAGAGCAAGGAACATTTTAATTAAGTGTACCAATCTTAGAAAAATACATCCACACGTACTGAGAATAGTTACCGCTTCAATACGATCAATCTGATTCTGTTAATTTATTTGATAGACATTTCCATAAACGTCAATACTGCACTTGTTCTTGTTAACAGGTCAATTAACAAACGGAATTTTTTTTTCGCGCCAATCGATACAAGCGCTTGGGGCATTTCTTTGTTTATATGCTGGTTTTTTTTTCATATTCCGAGAAATTGCAATTATCTACGTTGCATTGACTCACAACTCTGTGAGTCACAAATAAGATGATTTGCTACACGTCACGTTGGACATTCACTGATTATTCATAAATCAAAAGCAATTTCTATATCATAAATAGCCGGCGGTATAAATCAATCGATACTCGATTACGTAGTGTACACGAAACGGAAATTAGAGCATTTAACACTTTTGCAATTCTACTAAATCAAATCACTTATCTTGCGATATATTTTTCTAAATGGAAATCCTGCACTGAAAGTCGATACACTTGCTCTAATTTAACCCTCGTTAAAAAGTCATCGAGAAATGAGAAAAAAGTCAGCAAACAGCTTTACGCTTGTATTTCACAATGTAATTGGCACACAGCAAATGAACAAGTGACCAAATGGTTATTGAATTAATTTATATTAAAATGATATTTAGCTATACAAGCAAAAAAAAAGTCCGAGGCAGCTGCACCACACATAATCTTATAAATTCATTTGTAAGCCATTCAAAAAATTAATATAAGAAATGCTATAAATGTGTATTTGTGTGTGTTGTAATTCATAAAATGTGCATTAAACACTTAAAATTAAACTTGGTGTCAATTTATTGTGAAAATTACCGTTCGTTTACTGTGTTTGCATGTCATACGTTGCTCTCGTTCGGTGTTCATAGCATGGCTTGCAATTAAATCCCAAGCAAGTTATAAGCGAAAATGAACACACAACGGCAACGAAAAAAAAAAACATCATCGTTTGAAAAATGTCATCGTGAACGAATCAAAAAAATCAAATAAAAAAATTACTCAACGCGCTACCACATTCGTAACAAAGCACAGACACACAACAGCACCGACTGTTCTACCGTGAAATGAAGTGTACAGTTTTAATTAGTGCAAAGTAATGTCGGCTTGCAGTGTGTTCGCCCATTTTTTCACGTAATCTCATCTGCACACATTTCAGATATATTTACATAATATTGTCACCGTCAACAGCAGCAGCACATTGCAGCCACTATAGTTGACTTGGCTTAACACGCATATTACTTACAAAACAATTGCATCAGATTGAATGCTTGGTTTGCTCATTAGATCCAGTTACTTTTGTTAAACGAAATCGAATAAAGAACATCAGAATGCCGCAACAAAGTGTGCAATTACAAAAAGCGATCTTCATTATTTGTAGTACATTCAATCGTTCGCTCTCTCGCTCACCGATCAAAATCGAGAGGAACGTCTCGACAGAATGAAGGTTGTCGTGCAACTTAAAATCACATTTATTTTCAATTTTTATTTCCATCTCGCTCAATCGCAATCTCGATTCATCCATCGAAATTGACATCGAGATTTGTCATTTACGCTTTTCAGCAAAACAATTTCAAATTATCATAATTATTTTTCAATTATATCTATTGATTTGAATGTGTCGTTCAATTCCATTGAAATCGAGCCCAAAAGCGGTGAACAGCGGACGACCTCCACTTGTCTCATTAGGCATTGTTTTGTCGCAATATATTCAACACAAAATCTGACGATATATTTTTTTTTGCATTTTTACGATCATGCACCGTTTTAGGAAAACGGGGAAATAAATCATATTTAATACATTCAATTTTCTATTTTTGTAAATGAATCAGCCTGTTTGAAGCAGGAAAGCAATATCAAACAATTAAATTCTGACAATCATTATTTTTTTTCCATTACACTTTTTATAAACATTTCCCATTGTTGTTGCACGCGAGAGGAAAAAAATTGTCATAAACATACGATACACTCACACTCACACTCAAAACAGCATTTTTATTATAATTGAAGTTTAATAAACAGCACTGATTCAATTACTTTATAAATTTTCCATTTTGGAGTCATTTAGTGTGCTCCAAAAAAAACGTGCACCGTTTTGTTCACTAATTACATTTTTCACTTAACCCAGAAAAGTAGTTTCCACTTCAATAAAAATGAAGTACATATCACATGAAATGCAAAATTTCCAAAACCAGCAATTCCTCGATGC